GATAAGCATATTTACACACACTAAAAATAATGAAATCTTTTTTAAAAGGAAGAAGAAAGACAAATGTTATCCTTGATTATATTAAAAGTTTGAGGACAAAGTGAGCTATATAAAACACTGTCTCAAAAAAATTTTAAGTAATTAAATGCTGGGCTGGAGAGGTGGCTCAGAGGTTAAGAGCACTGCCTGCTCTTCCAAAGGTCCTGAGTTCAATTCCCAGCACCCACATGGTGGCTCACAACCATCTGTAATGAGGTCTAGTGCCCTCTTCTGGTGTGCATACATGCAGGCAGAACATTGTATATGCAATAAATAAATAAATCTTTTTTAAAAATTAAATGTTAGTGCCTAGTTATGCACAAAATATATAGGACCTTGCCTAACTGCTCCGCACCAACTAAAATCTGTCCCTGTATTGTCCTATCACAGCTCTTCCTGGTGTCTGTGCAAGTGCTTAAATATTTTACTTATTACCTTATGTATTGACTTTTATTCTCCTGAACTAAAGACTCCATGACGACAATCCATGGGTCTATTCTCTCTCTTTCTGCTCCATGATGGCAGTCCATGAGTGGTTTGTTCACCTCTCTCTCAGTTCTAAACAAAACACATACTTAGGAAGGCAGTTATCGATAAGCAAAGAGAAAGTTTAATGTCACCCAGGTCACCCAGGTCTGCAAATGCAAGAGACGGGGAATGGAATTTTGCTTGGCTTCTATGCTGAGCATCCACACATAAGCAGGATTATTAAGACTATTTCTTTTTTTTTTTTCAATAGAGCCCAATTCTAATTACTGCTCATTTACCTGTGTTCTCTAAGAAGGACCACTTATGCCAATTACTGACATTAAAACATAGAAATGAAATTTTTCACTGCTGAGATAGCAATCTGTTTAAATGTGTCCTAATTGCATCTTGTTAGAAGACCTTCCTGATAAATCTTTTTGAAAGCCAAACCCTCCCCTGATACAACTTAATTATCGTAGACTTACCATGCACTGGAATGAGCAGGGCTGGAGGGTGAGGAGTCTGCGCTTAACCGCTTAACTGCTTATACCCATAAGCCTCTACTTCCTGCTCTCCCAGCTCCTGCCTGCAAGGTGTGTGCCAGGTGCACACTGGACCCTCAGAACAGCACAGCTGTCCTCCTTCCGAGCTACCCGAGCCACGTGAGGTTTAACCAGATAACACTGCACTAAAAACGAGAATGAAGTCTGGCTGGCAGGGGTGGTGCATGCCTTTAATCCCAGCACTTGGGAGGCAGAGGCCTGCAGATCTCTGTGAGTTCAAGGCCAGCCTGGTTTATGAAGCTAGTTCTAGGACAGCCAGCATTGTTACACAGAGAAACCCTGTCTGAGGCCAGGGGAAAGAGTAAAAGTAAAAATGAAAGAAATAAGAATGCAGATTACGTTCTCAGCACTCAGGTCTGAACTTTCCCTCCTGTCGGCATTTCTGTCTAGTCTTTGGGGTGAGGCTGATGTCCTCGGTGCACACACTCTCCCTTACTTAGCTGTTCCTACTGCACAGAGCAACACTGCTTCTGCTCGGTGAATTTGAACTCCTGAGTCTTCTGCTTCCACCTCCTACGTGCAGTCACAGGACACCATGTCTGTTTTACTTGATACTGGGGGTGGCACCCTGAGCTTCACCCATGCCCTACCAACTGAGCTACATTTTCAGCCCCAATACATTTTATTAATATCCAGGGAGCTTTTATAAATCAGTTAGGGAAATTAACTCTGAAATTAAGCTATCCAATAGGAAAATGAATGACAGGAAAAGAAAAAGATACGTAAAAGGCCAACAGCCTGCGAAAGTATAATCAGGCTCAGTTGTGAAGACATAGCAAAACAATGAGACACCATTTCATCTACCAGATTAACGAAAATCAAACTCGACAATGCCAAGGGTCGACAGGAGTGCGGAGAATCAACCACCCTTGTACACCACAGTCAGAAGGGTGATCTGAGCAATTCGCAGCATCAAAACTTTAAACACAGGGCTGAGCTCAGGCGACAGCTCACTTGCCCACCAGTCACAAAGGCCCAGGTGGGTTCCAGCCCTAGCGCTGTATAGACTGGGTATGGCGGTACAGGCTTGGTACAGCTCAGGAGTCACAATAGAAAGAGCAGGAGCTCAACATCATCTCAGCTACAGCTACAGTTTGAAGCTGGCCTGGCCTGCATAAGAACCCCACCTGGAAAGAAAAAAGACACCAAGAGCCAGGAAGATGCTCAGCTGGTAAAGGCACTAGCTGCCACCTTGACCACCTGAGTTCAATAGTGGGGACCCATATGATAGGTGGAAAGAACCAACTGCTCCAAGTTGCCATCACACATACAAATAAATAAATGTAAAAAAGAAAAATTCAACTTCATTAAGTCAACCGCTATCAGCCAATACTGAAAAACCAGTGAAAAACCAGGCCTGGGAGCAAAGGCTTGTGATCCCCATTCAAGGCCTGCCTGGGCTACAGAGTGAGTTCAAACCAACCTGGGTGACTTAGAGAGACCGCGCCCCCAGTATTTTTTTAAAGCTATTTATTTATTTATTTATTTATTAAGTATACAATATTCTGTCTGTGTGTATGCCTGCAGGCCAGAAGAGGGCACCAGACCCCCTTACAGATGGTTGTGAGCCACCATGTGGTTGCTGGGAATTGAACTCAGGACCTTTGGAAGAGCAAGCAATGCTCTTAACCTCTGAGCCACCTCTCCAGCCCGCCCCCAGTATTTTTAAAGTAAGAAGATGACTAGGGGTATACTCAGTGACAGACTGCTGACTCCGTAGCACCTGTAAGTCCTGAGGTTCAATCCCTGGGAGAAAGAGAAGGAAGACATAGCTCCATGTCAGAGTGCTTGTCTGGCTTGTGTGAGGCTCTCGGTTGGCTCCACAGCACCACAAACACATGCACGCACGCACACACACACGCATGCACGCACGCAGGCACCCGTGCACCCATGGAGGAAAATAGAAGGAAGAGATGCCTGTGAAACACTAATTGTCCAATAACTCATTCAGGAAAGAATAAACACTACTTCTAACAGTTGCCTTATTTTGATTCTTTGTTTCGTTTTGTTGTTGTCTTTCTGTAATCCCTGACCACCCTGACCCAGCGAAGGACTGAAACTGGGACCTGGCACTGGCTAGCTGGGCAATTGCCTACCACTGAGCTAAGTCTCCAACCCCAAAGCATTCTAACAGGAGAAACGTGGATAAAAGCAATTCTCAGAAGAGGTAAGAGAAACCTGCATTCACCTGAGTCATCAGAGAAACAGAATCAAAACCACAAGAAAGCCCTTGCCACACAAAGTCACCAAGAGTGAGTTCTGACAGCATCTCTAGCTGTCACTGCGGGTAAGGGTGTCGACTTAAACAACCCCCTCCCCTTTTTGGTTTTGGTTTTGGTTTTTCAAGACAGTGTTTCTCTGTAGCTTTGGAGGCTGTCCTGGAACTCACTCTGTAGACCAGGTTGGCCTCAAACTCACAGAGATCTACCTGCCTCTGCCTTCCAAGTGCTGGGACTAAGTGTGTGCCATCACCACCCGGCTGAGCAACCACTTTGAAGAATAATTCTAGAATCGTGGGAGATTTCCAACTTCTATGAAGCAGCAGTTCTGCCCCTGTTAGGAGATCCTAAAAGAACCTACATGAGTGCATCAAGAGACGTTTGAGGGACATTCCCAGTCTTTGCAAGGGGCGCGGAGTAGTGGGGTGGGACGACTTTGGACCAACTTTAATGTGCAATGACCAGAAAATGGATACTTAAGTTGTGGTCTATTCATTTAATTTGCAGTGAGAGTCAGTTGGCTCTGCAAAGCTATCAACACAGAAACTCTCAAAAACGTAAAGCGCAAGAAAAGATGCACATTTCAAAGAAATTCACACAGCAAAGACCTCTGAAACATTGCATCAGAAAGATAAAGTCAGGATCCAGGCATCGGGGGAGAGATGATCGGTTAGAGGGACATTTAGGGTTAACAATGTGGTCTTTCAAGATGTTTTTATTCATTCTTTAAAAGTTTTTTTATTTATGTGTACACACGTATATCTGCAAGTTTGCACACATGTGTGGGTTCCTTCAGACTTCAGCGGGAAGAGGGTGTCAGATCCCCTAGAGCTGGAGAACGGGTGGCAATAAGCCACCCTTCCTGGCTTCTGGGCCTCGAGAAGAGCAGCAAGCATTCGTAACTGCTGAGCCCATGTCTTCACTCATGACACATTCAGACTAAGAATGTGTCATGCATAATGCAGAACAGCATCTATATAAGCTAGACACCGTGGTGTGTGGCTACTCTCAGCGGTTTGGGAAGCTGAGTCAGGCAGATCAAGCACGTACTGAAGGCAGTTCAGAGCCCCCAGGCGGCAGCACAGTGTGTTCCATTTCATAAAGAAATGAACCAGGCACAGGGGCACATGTCTTTAATCCCAGCACTTGGGAGGCAGAGGCAGGCGGATCTCTGTGAGTTCGAGACCAGCCTGATCTACAAGAGCTAGTTCCAGGACAGGCTCCAAAGCTACAGAGAAACCTTACCTCGCAAAACAAATGTTTTGTTTTGTTTGGCTGTTTTTCTGAGACAGGGTTTCTCTGTGTAATCGTCCTGGTGTCCTGAAACTCTTTCTGAAAACCAGGCTGACCTTGAACTCATTGACCTTTAATCCTGATGAGATTAATGGCAGGCACAACCACCACCACTACAACTAAGAAGTTCATTTTTTTAACAAAATTTATTTAAACAGAAAATGGGGGCCCAAAACACATTCACGGAGCGGGCCAGCCAGGGAAGGTCCAGGGCTCCAGCGCTATGGGGCCTGCTGTTCATTTTACCGAGCCGAGACTGGCCTCCTGCCTGTTGCTGCTGGCCCTGCTTGGCTGGTTCAGGGTCCACCCCACTGCAACCTAGGAGACGGAACTGCTGGCACCGCAGCAGCCAGAGCGACGCTTGGCTCACAGCACAGGCACAATAAGGAATGGTGGAGCTCAGGAATCACAGTCAGTAAGTTGTGGCTGAAAGGCAAAGAAAAAAAAGCTACATTCGGAGCCAAGGGCTCTCTGCGTGCTAAATGACCCCAAGAGTCAAGCCCCATTTCTCCAGCTGGCCCCAGGCCAGGAGTAGAAGCAAGGACAAGTACTTGTAACCCAGATTGTACCACCCCACTGAAGCCAGAATGCACGGCTTATGACGACTACATAAAACTTCCAAGAGTAAAGGCCGACAGGCATGACGCTCTTCTACACAATACTGACAACATTCTCCCTTTTTATGTGGAACACCTGAAGACACCTGCTCTCCTGAACCTTGCAAGGCCGGAGGAGTAGAACGAAGCAACAATTATCTTCACAAGGAGGCCCTCAGGTAACAAGTTTATGGTTTCCTTCCTTTCTAACAGAGGGCATTTCCAGTTCAGATCGTCAGACAGGCAATCTTTGCATCTCTTCCAGAAGAAGGGGGAGGGAATGAGGAGGAGGAGGAAGAGGTATAGTTGTGGTTAAACCTAGGGTAGCTGAAGTCCAGAGGCTGTCGCTGAAGAGGAGGCTGCGGGCTGGAGAGAGGACTCTTCTGTTAGCGCCCCGGCTGCTCATCCGGAGAGCCCTGCTCAGTTCCCAGCACCCCAGGGCAGCTCATCACCTCTGTAACTCTAGTTCTAAGGCTCTGAAAACCTCTCCAGCCTCCCCTGGCATCATGGGTACACGATACACAGACACAAGCAGGTGAAACACCCACAGCGATAAAATTAATTTTCTTTTTTTTTTTTTTCAAGTAGAAGCTGCGGATGGATGACGGGACAGTGTGGAGGGGGAGGACACTTGTTCCGAGTCAGGCTGTGGCAAGTAGGATGGAAGCCTGGGAGAGGAAATGATTGGCGTCAATCACTTCATCCAAGCCTCATTCTCCAGATGACGTCACTCCGGTTCAGAAAGAAGAAAGAACTTGGCAGACAGCAGCCCGCTCACCTCCTGGCCTACCTCCAAGAGCACAGGCCCTCACAGTCTTGCCATCCTGGGTGCTCCCCAGCCTCACTCTCTCTCTCCTCTGCTGGCTCCCCAGAAGGTGTGCAGCACGTCCTCATCCTATGCACCCTATGGCTTCTTTCTTCTACGCAGATTCTCTTCCCTGGCTTCCAGGCCCCCAGGTATTCCTGTTTGGGCCCAGCATCCAGAAAAAACACCATCTAAAGATGTGTTTCCCCCTCGCCCACACCCTTTCTGTAGTTGTCCCTCTCTCTCCACCTCCCACCAACAGTCAGCATCACTTGGAGTGACTTCTCCACCCCCCCACCCTTACCCCCCATTCTCACCCCCACCTCCTGCCCCCCACCATCAAATACACAACCCCTCAATCACCTTCATTCTTCTAAACAGCACCCGCCCCTCATGGTTGGGTCTTTTTCTCCTAGCATCCCAGTACTGAGGACACAGCAGCCTCTGTCCACCCTCCCCAGGCTCCTCCCACTTACCATACACATTGCTGTGGGGTTGCTGGTCCTCAAAATGTGGTGACCTGCATTCCCACTTGGCTGGTGATGAGCCTGTTGCTCCCTCTGCCTCATGCTCAGCCCACACACTGGCAGCATTTTGGAGTGGCCACCCCGCAGAGTTCCAGCCCTCAAATCGCACTTCCAAATTCCTCAATGTGACAAAAAGATACCCACTCTATGAATCCCCCAACACCATGCTCCTCCACCCCCTCCCCACTGTGGTACCCCATCAACTGCAGGCTGTCCCCCTCCTGCCTTTTGCTTATGCACACCTGCAGCCAAGGCCTCCGGAGATGCCCACCTCCCAAAGCCTGCCGGGCTCATTATACAAACTATTCATCCCCAGTAATCACGCACTGCCAATGATTCTCGTCTGCTTAGCCCGGAACAGGCATTGAAACTGCCTAGGCCACTTGATCCAGTGCCTGCCTCTGTCTGCACACCCCATCACAAAAATCCTAAAAGCACTTGTGCAGCGATTGTTCCTCCCCACAGTGCCTAGGAGGTAGACAGTAAAGGCTGGATATACACGAAGACGGGTTTCTCTTCCCACATGCGCTGGCCTCAAAACAGCCAACGCTGACCAGAATAGTAAGCACCTGCTTTAGAACCCTGACTTCCAGAATTCTCACACAGGCCTGTTTCCTCCTAGCGGTTCTCAGCTCAGGCTCCCAATCAGGCACCGGATTACTCTGGACACTGATTGTCCACAGAGACTGCTGACCCACCTCTGAAAGGCAGCCCCAGTCCCTTCCAGTCCCTTGAGGGTTTCTGACTTGGTGATAATGTTTCCTTGCCTTTCTTTGGTCCTTAGCACAAGGAAATGACCCAACTATGGAGGAAGAGTCAAGTCTAAACCCTGAACCACGACGTGTCTCTAGCTGAAGTCACTCCCGCCCAGCTGGTCTCTAGTCAAAGGCACCCAGGGAAGCCCCTGCCCTTGGGAGAGAAAGAAGACACTGCACCTTTAAGTCTGCAGCCAGCTCGGAAAAACAAGCTGTGATTTATATAAGCGGGAAAATCATGTGATTTGCAGGAACGTTGCCTCCTCCCTGGCCCCCGCCCCGTCGCCTGTGAGACCGTCCCAGAGGGCTGGGGCGCGGCCAGAGCTGGGCTGCTGGGCGCGGGGTGCGGGCGGGGCACTGGGGGCCTCTCGGGCGGGCGGTGGCAGCCCCTAAGTGGGCCGTGGAGTTTGGTCTCCAGACAGCCTCAGGGCTGTTATGGTTTGGAAGTACAGATCCCGGGCACTGCCCCTGCTTCCGCGACCCGCCACTGAGACTGCACAAAGCTATCCAGGTCCGTTCAGGTCCCCACCCCACCCCTGCCCCACCCCCTGCTCCAGCCAACTTGGCCTGCCCCCATCAGGCCAAACTGTGGCTTGAGACACCCAGGCTGTTCCCAACTTCTCCCAGAAAAAGGAAATCCCGGGCCCCACACACTGGCTTCTGTGTCCCAAAACACCCAACAGGAAAAGAGAGCATTTGGGGAAATAATCTGTTTGGGAAAGGACTTGATGATGAAAGTCGGCCGTTCCCATCCCCGCAGCTGAGAGGGGCAGTGTGCAGGCCACCAGCTTTCAGGGAGAAAACAGAACCCTGATGTGACCCTTTCAGACAGAACCAAAGAAGAGGTCCTGAGGGGTGTTTTCAAAAGAGAGGTGGTGGCTCCACCTACACCCACGCACAAGTTTGGCAAGTTCCGTAAGGCGTCACTCCTCCGTGGAAAGACCAAAGTGGGCAAGGCCTCACTTGCAAGTGGGATCTTCCAAAACCAAGCCCAAGAGAAGTGAGGCAGGAGAGATGAGGGTCTCTGAGCACCTCATCCTTCCCAGAAACTACAAAGATGGACTCCCAGAAAGATTGTCATGGTCTTCACAAAGTAACCAAGACTAGACAGGCATCTCAGCCTCTCAGAGAAGGCTTCAAGATCAGTGCTTCCTAACGCTGTGTCCCTTTAATACAGTTCCTCAGGTTGCGGTGACCCCCAACCATAAAGATATTTCTGTTGCTACTTCATAACTGTGTTTTTGCTACTGTTATGAATCATAATATAAATATCTGTGTTTCCCAAGGTCTTTGGCGACCCCTTGTGAAAGAATCGCTTGACCCCCATAGGTCGCAACTCACACCCCGAGAACCACTGGTCCAGATTCTATTTAATTTTCCACTTCAGGGGATAGATGAGGTGTAGGATGGGTGTCGTCTCCTGCAGGAAAAACTTGATGCTCGTGAACAAGTTGGTAACTTATCAACGAACCACGGAACCATGACCTCAGACTCCAGCCTAGGTCAGCAGAGCCCACTCTAAGCGCTAAGGGCCAGCTGGGCCATTCTCTGGGCCCCCTTGCTGTGTCCCATGAAAGGTCTTTGTCATGCTGAGCTCAGGGAGTCACCCGGGGTCCTGACACACCACAGAGAGAAGGCCTATCCTGGAGACCAAATGTTTTCTGTTTCTCTTCAAACCCTAAAGAAAAACACTGTAGGTTAACACTATTCTAGAAAATTCTAGAGGCTCATACTGTGTTCACATACTAAGACCATTCATCCAGTTACTGGGGTATTTAGTGTGTGCTTGGCAAAGCGCTGGGGTAGTGGGGGCGCAAAGTAAGAACAGCCGCTCCCTGAGTCTGGATCCTGCCTCACCGGAAACGGCAAAGAAAGACCTTTCTGTCCTTGCTAGCATGCCTGTCCCCCTTCCTGGCCACCCCCAGCAGGTGCTGCCCCCACCCCTGCCGTGATTGCCTCACGGTTTCTCGCCAAGAACCGCTTCTAGAAGGTTCTAACTCTCTAGGGTTTGGGCGGTGGCTATAAGAAGTAACCTAAAGATCTGTCCAAAAAGTGAGATCAAAGTTGGCAGCCTCCTGAGCCACTCCCCCGAAACGATAAAGCCAGCAAATTACAATTCAGTTCAGGTCCCACTTGGCTCTCCCCTACCTGCTGTGTTCTCTACCCAACCTAAGCCCTTCTCCCCCCACGCCACCCCTGCGACCCCCTCTTGGTACACCCACCCAGCTTGCAGGACTCATTCAAAGCTTCTTCAGCCAAGGATTTGCCCAACTTAGAGCCCTCCTTGGGGAACCAGTGCCACCTAACTAAAACAGCTCGACTGTACCCCATCTCTAAGGTGCTGGCGTCCTTGGCACTGCACAGATACCTCCTGGATCGCCTGGCCTCTTCTGCTGCTTACTGAAGGGGCTCCACCATCCGCGGTGACTGTGAGTCTGTCCACTGTACCTGTCCGTCCTCCTCTGCCTTGTTCAGATCTTTTTCCTATCTCAATCTCCCCTCTTCCCATTTCAGGCACAGCATGGTGGCGCTCAGAGGAAGTCCTGTCTGTGAGCCTGCAGCGAGCCAAGATTTTAAACGAACAAATAAATTAAGGCCCTGGACCGAAAACACCCTGGGAACGACAAACTGTTACCTTTGAAAGGAACCTCCGAGGCCTTTTCTCAAACGCACCAAGGAGGGCGTCAGCAAATGAGTGAGATCAGCTCACCATGGACACTGTCTCTTTTAGGAAATGGAGCCTCGGCAGGCAGAAAAAGGTAGCCTAGGTCCTGCCAAACCCAACTGTTTTAAATTAGCCTTCCAGTAAAATGGGGGTGCTGTACTAACTGGTCTCTGGGGTCCCTAAAGCAGCAAAGCTCTGAGACTCTCTGCGTTTCTCCTAAACAACCTTTGAGAAAGCATTGATGTTCATAACAGAATGGAAAATGGATTGGGGCTCAGGCCTGGGGCTGTAGCTGAAGCTAAGAATCGGGCTTTCACAGTGTCTCAGGCCTGCTTCCCTGAAAGGGCCCCTGCTCTTTCCCAAGCTGCCTCTGAGTGGAAGAGAGCATGCAACTTCCCCAGAGCAGAGAGGCCCAGGAGAGGGGAAAGCTGGCCCAGGACCCAGTCCAGGCTCCCCTCTGACTCCATACATTCCTCCCTCCCAGCTGGTGTGTGTGTATGGGGGGAGGAGGGGTACTTTGGGACCTTCTGAACAGCACACCCTTCAGCCCGCCCAGGCCCCAGCATCCTGAACCTCCATTTACAGTGTTTAGGGACAACTAGCACATTTGACAACCTCCCCAAGTAAGAGCCCCACCAGACCTCTTTTCCAGGGTCTGACTAATGGGTGATGCTGGGACAAAAAGGCAGGGGGTGGGGAGAATCCAACCAGACAAGCTCAGAGACTTGGATCTCAGGGCCAAGGCTGGAGAGGAGCAGAAGGAAATCTCCCTAGTCCGCCTCAGTGTTGTCCTCCCACCACAGGAGCAGAGCCAACCCAGAAATCCTAGGATGAACCAATAGTCCCAGGAAGGACTGCGCCTCCCCCCCCCCCCCCCCCCCCCCCCCCCCCCCCCCCCCCGCTCCCCGGCCCACACTTAGCCTAGGTTCTGACCAGGAATCATCCAGCATTCCCAAAAATTCAAGGCACAGTCTCTTTCCAAGCCAGGCTCCTCTGAGATCTCCAGATGGATGTAGCCTGCCTTCCACATACCCCCACCCTTCCACATCTCTGAGTTCCGGTCATACCTGGGAAGTCCAAAAAGCATATGGCCCCAATGCCAAAGGCCACAGCCCCATAGCTAAGGAGGTATTAGATGTTTTAGAGAGTATTATTCTGAACCTGGCGGTGGTGGTGGTGCACACCTTTTATCCCAGCACTATGGAGGCAGAAGCAGGCGAATCTCTGTGAATTCGAGGCCAGCCTGGTCTACAAAGCAAATTCCAGGATAGCCAGGGTTGTTACAGAGAAGAATATCTGTCTTGAAAAACAAAAGAGAGAGAGAGAGAGAGAGAGAGAGAGAGAGAGAGAGAGAGAGAGAGAGAGTCAGTCATTCTGGGCTTGGCTTGGCTCTAGCTTTATCTCTGTCTCCTGACCAGTACCTTTCCCTCTGTTTATAGAAAGTCTGGAGACAGGGAGCTCCACTGTGGCCCCCTAACCTGCCCATTCTGTGCCTGCTCCAGGTTTTGTCGGAGGGCCTCCAATAAGAGACCTTCCAGCTACTGCGTGCCTGCCAAGAAACCCTCTAGTAAATGATTGGAGCCCCACCTTGCAGGAACTCCATCATCGTGTCTCCCCAACCTTGCAGTCCCTTCCAAAACTTGCCCCCACAAATCCCCAAGGTGCTCAGAGGGCTTAGGCTCCTACTGGCCTGTGCTTGGATTTCCTGCCTTTCTCCCCCAGCCTCCAGGAGCACCTTCCCCTCAGTGGCTGTCCTCTCCCAGCACCTCCTAATCACCCTGGGATCCGCCCTATTGGTGTGTTCTCCCAGCCACAGTCTGCACAGCAGCAGGCAGTTTCTCAAGGGCTGCAGTTACTGAGAAAAGGAGGATTTGCTAACAGGCGGTACTCTTCTGAGAATCTATCCATCATTCCATACCTCCAAAACTTCCCCGACCAAGTTCCTGGTCCAATTCTTCACTTTTCTTTTCTTTTCTTTTTTTTTTTAAATGTTATTATGTTAAGTGTATAGGTGATTTGCCTGCATGTCTGACTTGCCACTTGCATGCCTGCAAAGGCCAGAAGAGGGCATTGAATCCCTGGAACTGGAGATATGGACGGTATTGAGCCACTGTGTGGGTGCTGGAAATTGAACCTGTGAACCCACCTTCAGTTTTCTTCCTCTTTCTTCTCCTTCAGATCCAGGCAAACTCAACTACCTATGGGTTTCTTCTGCAGAACATTTGTCTTGGCTTCAGCATGCCCAGATCCTCCTCACTCTCACAATAACCCTTCCTCAAGGGTTCCTTCATAACCTATTCCTCAAAAAGAGTCATCTTCTCCTGGGGAGTGATAGCCTTCTCCCCTGGAATGGCAAAGCGTGGTATTTTATCTTCTTTATAGCACTATAGTCAAGCAATCTACCTCAAATTGCTCCTGGTGATTTGTTTTTAAATAAGTTAAAAGAAAAACAAAAGTACTAGCAGTGGTGGCACACTCCTTTAATCCCAGCACTCTGGAGGCAGAGGCAAGCAGATCTGAGTTCAAGGCCAGCCTGGTCTACAGAGTGAGTTCCAGGACAGTCAAGGCTACACAGAGAAACCTTGTCTCAAAATAAATGAAAAATTAAAAAACAAAAACCCAACATTTATTTAGTCAGGAGTAAGAGGTGCACATATGTAGTCAGGGGTAAGAGGTGCACATTATGTGCCACATCACACAAGTGGAGGTCAGAGGGCAACTTGTGGGTGTTAGTTCTCTCCTGCCATGTGGGGTACAAGAATGGAACCCTGGTCATGAGACAGAGCGACAGGCACCCCACCAGCCCTTTGTTTCTTTTTCCTTCCCCCCCTCGGAGAATGAATCCCCATGGCAGCTGAAGATGGCAGAGAAGGTGAGCTGGCATACGAGACACAACGGACAATAAGTGGCTCTAGTGTACCCCAGTTCTCAGGATAGGTGGGACGCAGGGGGCGGGGTCTGGAGTCTCAGTGCAGGGAGAAGAAGAAGGTGGGTGGTGGCGGCGGTCACACAGCAGCATGAGTGTGTCACTAAAGTTGGAACTTGAAACAGTAAATTTTATGTTACATGTACTTGACTACAATTTAAAAGCTAACCCTGAGCATGGCCTCAGGAGGGACTTGGAGCTAAGCTGCCTGCAGCTTTCCCTCTGCACCTTCAGTCCCAGCACAGCCCTGAGGACCCTGTGCAGGCTCCTGGACGAAGAACACCTCACCTGCTCTCAGCCCCAGAGGCCTGAGTCAACCCTGCCCTTATGGCTGCAGGACCCATTAGAACTGCAGAACAGCGACAACCAGAGTGGCATCAGCTGTTGGTTCTGCATCTACATCAGTCATTAAAATTAGCTGTGCGACCTCTGTCTATCTCAATATGCTTATAAAGGAACGTAGGAAGATAGTAGCCAGTCCCCATCAAGATACTGGAGGTGAATGTGCTTTGAGAAGTGCATACAAACTTGTCTTGCCATCTCGTTCCACCTTATCACACAAGAAGCATCTCAACCATAAGAAGGAAATGGTTACCTGAAAATAAAGAGGCAGCCTGCAACGTTCAGGCTATACAACTTCAGCTGAGTTCCTCCGGCCATCACCCTAGCAAAGACAGAAGGAAACCCTCTCCGGGTCTGCACCAGAAAACCCTCATTTTGCCAGGATACTTATGTCTCAATGATGGAGTGTTTTGGTTTTGGTGTTTTAAAAACATATTTGAGGGGCTGGAGAGATGGTTCAGTGGTTATGAACACTGGCTGCTCTTCCAGACATCCTGAGTTCAATTCCCAACAACCACATGGTGGTTCACAACCATCTATAATGAGATCTGGTGCCCTCTTCTGGCCTGTAGGCATACACACAGGCAGAACACTATATATATAATAAATAAATCTTTAATATATATGTATATTTGTTGATAACGATGAGTATGGTTGCTTTGCCTTTGTAATACTTTGCATGCCACGTGTGTGCCTGGCATCTGTAGAAGCCAGAAGAGGGTGT